ACACCTTGTTTCTGATCTACAGAGGCAGAATGATACTTTGTTTCTGATTGCCCTGTTGTTTTGCCCAGTTCTTTTGTTTCACCATATGGCCAGTGGATCCTTCATCCTGTGACCTTCCTGCTTCACTTCCTTCCTCAATCTCCCAAATGGTAGGATTACAGGTATCTATTGGCATACCTGGCTTTCTGGTTTTTCTTAATTTACTTTAATTTTATTTAAGGTATAATTACATCCTTTCCCCTCCTTCTCCCTGAAACCTCTCCCATGTTCCCCCTACTCTCTCTTAAGTTTATGGCATCTTTGTCTTTAATGATTACTGTATTATATATATATGTGTGTGAATAAATATATAAATGGGACCTGTTGAGTCCATTTACTATTGTTTGTACAACTTAATTAAAACATAATTTAATAAAATCAGCTCCCTGTAAACTGATCTTAGATTAGACAATATTTTCATGAAAATATTTTATTAATACTTGGTTTAATAACTTTTTAATATCTGTGTATGTGACAGTCAACATAAAATCATAATATATTACTTTAAGATATATGGAAATGTCCTTTATGTGAATATTTGCTAATCTAGTTGCTGCCTATGAATTTATCAGTTCAATCAGTATTTATAAAAAATACTTTTAATTCTGCCTAAGTTCCGATTTCTTATCTAGGCAACTGACATTCTAATCACCTGTTTCAGCTTGCTTGTAAATAATTTTTATGCGATGAGTGTGAAGATAGTCATAACATATATAAGATATTGTATATTTGTTCAGATTCCTTTTATTTAGATGAAACAAGATCAAGTCTCACCATTTCTTTCTATTTAATCTCTTTTTAAATAGTAGTGGATATCAATAATAATGTTAAGGAAAGAACACTCTAAATTTGATGTTTTACTTGTTATCAAATGGTTATTCTCCAAAAGGTTGATAAACTTTGACTTTTTATTTTTCATTTGTGACTTAGAATAAAATATGGGACATAATACATATTGCCAGGATATGTATATATGTATTATGTGTATGGGACATTTTATTTTATAAAACATTTTTGTTGGCCTACTAGGATTCTCTCTCTCTCTCTCTCTCTCTCTCTCTCTCTCTTCTTTGTTCCTTCCTTCCTTCCTTCTTTCCTTCCTTTGTCCTCCTCCTCTTCCTCTTCTTCCTCCTCCTCCTCCTCCTCCTCCTCCTCCTCCTCCTCCTCCTTTTGGTTCAAGAAAGGATATTTCTGTGTAGCCCTGGCTGTCCTAGAACTTGCTCTGTAGACCAGGCTGGTCTTGAACTCACAGAAATCTTCTTGCTTCTGCCTTCCAAGTGGTGAGATTAAAAATGTGACCCACCAATGCCCAGCTTTAGGTGCCTTTCTTACTGGCCACCTCTGCACTAAGTAAGGCAGTGTTGTCATCCTCAACTCAGCTAAGAAAAAGGCTGAGTCCCTTCTGCCAATGCATGCTAATCTCCAGAGGTAGACTTAGGGATAATGGGCTTCTTCTTCTCTATCTAACTTTAAAGACTGAAGTCATTTCAAGTTAACACATACTCCATAGAAACCATAGGAAGAAATTTGGAAAGAGAGACAGCTTAATTTCCCCCAGTCTGGGCCCTTGTAGAGACGCCTTCATTCTGGGGTAAAAGAAACAAACTGCACACCACTCTGCTTACTGGTCCATGGCGTGTTTGGTACTCTGACCACAGAGGTCTTTGTTGGTTGGCAACTTTATGGCTGGCAATTGAAGTGGTTCAGCAGCTGGCATCAAGTAGGTGCACATAAAAATGTTCATAGGTGTGTTTTCTTGACAGCACTCTTCAAATTTAGAATTCTTTTTGGATAAGTTTTCACAGATTTTTATCGTGTGTTCAGGCAGCTACAAAGAGAATGGTGGAACGGTGCAGTTAGTTTTCTTGTGAGTCGTACTAAAAATAAAACTTAGGCTTTTAAGCTCTGATGTGATATTTATAAATGTCAGCCTGAATGCTCTTAGGAAACAAATTTATACAGTATTTGGGAAGGGAGTTTGTTAATATGTGAAAGCTCATCCCATAAAGTGTAACTTCACCTCTAAGTGTGTGTGTGTGTGTGTGTGTGTGTATTTATGAAAATTCCATATCAAAACCAGTTTTTTTGTTAATAAAAACAAACAAATAAAATAATTAGGATAAAGAAAATACTTAACTATATTGCTATGTAGTATGACATTGCTTAAATATTGAAAAGCCAACACAATGCAATCATTGAAAATAGACTATGATGTACCCCAGGCAATGATGTGATACATACAACTGACAACCCAGTGGCATCCTATTGAACATCATGTATCGTTAGAGCACAGCATCTGTGCACAGAAGTGCATATTTGTAATCCAAAAAGAATACACGGCTAATGGATCTATGCTAATGTCAGCAAGACCTTGGCAAATGATCTTCATTTAATATAATTATCTGAATCTGTGTCTACTTGAGAAAATTATGCAAATTGAGAAAGCAGAAAAAAACTTATCAAATTTTAATTTGTTTACAAATTTTAAATACAATATATTTTTATATATTAGACAAAGTATAATAAGAATATAACCAGGCTTGGATAGTGCCAGTACTAATAAGACTTTATGCTATAGATAAATTTTAAATTGTGTTCAATTTAAATACTGTACCAAAAACTGTAATTAAATGAACTGGGTATGAGTAATGGCTACTCTGCACAGTGCAGGGCTTGGGAGTCTGGGAATCTTGTCCTTGTGTGTGTGTTGAACAGTCTCAAATTACTGCCCTCCGTTAACCTGTTTCATCATCTGTGAGACAGAGTGGGGAATGTATTTATTGTTTGTAAAGGCATGTGAGGATGCTAGAATAATTCACATAAAAAAAAGCAGCTTGGAAGACTGACAATTAGTTCACAGTCTTCAGTGCGGTATGTGACGATGATCCCATGGCCCACCTTACCTCTCTCGCCATGCAATCTTCTGACGTAGACTCACAGCATCTGGACAGGATTTCAGTAAGGTCTTCAGCTATCGGTAGAACATTCTCCAGGGTAGCAGTTGGTACTTTTTGGGCTAGTTTTATAAGATTGCTGGAAGTTTAAAATGAATTTATTAGCTAACTCATATTCTTAGTGTTCTGGTTTTCACCATAGGCATACAACTGAGAGGGATAGTGTAGTATTTTGCATCACCAAATGGATAGAACATACATGCCATGTGACCTGTGCTATATAATAAAGTTATAATATTACAGATTAACACATCGCCAGTGAAGATTTTCAAATATTCAGCATTGAGACATAGCTTTTTTTCTGGCCAAATTTTCATATATGTTAGGATAGAAGCAGTCTGCAATGCCAGTGCTATATTAGTGTGACATCTCATTGTCTTAAAGATGTTTTATAAAGTGACTTTTAACTCAGCAGTTTTGCCACTATAGAAATGTTTTGTGTATTCTGAATATTACCTCCTTATTGTATGTAGTTTGACACTGTTTTACTAAGTTGCCTCTTCCCTTGTTGACTAAATCTTTTGGGTAGCAGTTTAAAGTTTGATATAGTTATTTTTGATTTTACCTTTCTTCTGTTTATGCACAACATCTAAGGGATCATTGTCAAAGCCAATGCCTGGAAGATTCTACCCTGTTTTCTTCCGACTCTTACAGTTCTAGATATCATGTTTAGGCTTTTAGTATATTTTAATGGTGTATGTAAAGGGTCCAGCTTCATTCTTTTGTATGTGGATATCTAGTTCTTAACATTGCTAGAAAAATTATCTTTGCTCTGTTGGGCAATCATTTGACCAATGTACTAGTTTAGTCCAAGGCATTCTATTCTGTTCAGGGATCTGTTCATTACTTTTTATGTCAGTATCATAGTAATCTGATTATCGTTGCTTGGTAGTTGTTTCAATCCTTGCCCCTACCCTGCTTTTCAGGGTGTTTTGTCTATCTGGAATAGTTTGAGGTCCTTGTAATAGCTTCTCAATTTCTAGACAATGATGGAGTTTGGAATTTGAATGTCCTCCAAATGGCCACATGTTTGCTGTTTGAACTCAGGTGACTGTGCTGGAAGCTGGTGGAATCCTTGACAGTTGAGCCTTCCTGGGAAGTCTTTAGGTCTTTTGGAGTTGATTTTCAAAGGACATAATAGAACCTCCTCCACTTTTTCTTGAGGTGATGGTTTATACTACCATATGTTGCCATCCCGTGTGCCACCAGAGGCCAAAACAATACTGTCAACTTGCTATAGACCGAAACCATAAAAACTGTAGAGTAAAATAAACCTTTCTTTGTATTTGTTACAGTAATGGATAGCTAAGTAACAAAAACCTTGTCCTTTAAAAAAAAAACAGTGCAATTATGGCTTTAAGAAATTGAAATGACTATGTGCATGCTTTAAATACTACAGCATTTTATTTCACTTACGACTTTTAATGTTGACTAATTTACTTTGTGAGACAATGTCTCACTATGTAGCCCAGACTAGCATGAAACTCACTATATATCTAGGATAGCCTTGAACTTGTGACTGCCTTTTTGCCTCAGCCTTCTGGATGCTGGTGTTCTAGATGTGCATCACCTCACTTAGCTAGTATTGCACTGTGATAGATTTAAGTCTTTAAACAGCAAGCATGGAGCGCCTTTCCATTTATTGTATTATTTTGGATTTCTTGGAATGATTTTTTGTACTTTCATTGAGCCTACTTTTACAATATAATTTTGAAGCACTGATAGATTTTATGTTTAAGTGCTATAGTTGAGATATTTTCCATTCTAGACACACTTAGGGAATCTGTAATTTTTACGTATTAAAATAGAGCAGCGATATTTTGAAACTCAATCTTTGTCCACACCAGAACCTAGTCCTTTGGAATAAATCCCTAGACACTAATGCAAATATAATCCATGGTTAATTATGCAAGTATGTATGATGTATTTGAATATATATGATACCCACAAAAAATATATATTCTTAGTGAAAAAGGGAAATGAAGCCAAGACTAGAGAAAGCGCCCGAGTGTTTTTGTGGTTCACTAGTAGACTGCGTTCTACAGCTTCTTTCACAGGTGTGCTGGGAATACAACGTAGACTGAAGGAGCAAACGTTTAGCCATGAAGACGGTATGGAATCTTTACCTCAGCCTTGACTTCTCCTTTCCATATGCAGCGTATTGTGAACAGACTCTGTTTGACATAGTAGTGAGAAGTGACAAATGTTTCATCTGGAGTCTCTAGAGAATAAAAGGGAGAATCGTGTTCAATGATCAAAACCAATGGAATAGAATGCACATAAACAGCCGATAGGGATGCTCTAGCTGACATTTCAAATTCAATACGATAATGATCTCTAGCCACTGTGATTTATTGCTTTCTCCTTAAGGGCACAGCTCTTTTCCAACCCACAAAACTCAATGAAGGTGTTGTGGAAAGTTTTGCTAATTACAAAATACTAATGTCTCCCTTTATTCAAAAGAAATGGCATTTTAGGAAGGAATGATAATACATAACTGTAATAAAGCCTACCTCCTTCAAAAAGCATCTAGTTGGGCTTGCAGAAGTACAGCAGGATCCAACCATAGAGAGATAACTCTTGGTGTAACCAACTAAAAGTGGCAGAGGCGCTTGTCCATAATTGCTGGAATATTCATAGAGAAACCTGGGAGAGAAAAGCCCAGTTTGCGTGATTTTGTATTTCATTTCGATAAAGAAAGAATGCATGCTGTATTGGTGTGTATGTGTGTGTGCTGGTCTGTCTGTCTGTCTGTCTGTCTGTCCTAGGTATCTGCCTGCTTTTGCCCTGTCTCAACTTGTGGGTCCTGGGGACCTGAACCCAGGTCCGTATGCTTATCCATAAGGGATTATTTTACCCATAGAGCTGTTACCCCAGCCCACTAGGTCATAAAATCACTATGTATTTAAAGAAAGACTAACAATACTGGCAACTACACCATAATATATTTATTTTGAAAAATGGGTTCTTTAGTTCCCATGTCTATTTCAAGTGTGAAACCATCTGTTTTTCTTCTCTTTTCTTTTTTACTGTCTTGCTCAGAGAATTACCAGTGTTAGCTTCTTAGTGGGTGAATATACTTAGGAGATTTACTCTCATTTTCTTTTTTAAAATTTTCTATCCTAGATAATTCCCATGTATTACATGACAAGAGTAATCATTTTGTTTTTTTAGCAACACACGTTCCTGAGGCTCTAAAAGACATTCTGAGGGCTGGAGAGATGGTTCAGTGGTTAAGAGTGCTTCTTTATTTTCCAGACCTGAGTTCAGTTCCAAGCAACCAAGTCTGATGGCTCACCTGTTACCCCAGCTTCAGGGAATGTGATGGCCTCTGCAGGTACCAGCAAACACATAAAAATGAGGTATGATTTTTAAAATGATAAAACATATTTGAAAATTTGAGTAAAATATCTGAAAAGTAAAAAAATGGGCATGCCAACTAATATTTATGAAATTATGAATAAATTTAACTTTATTGTCCTGTATCTTTGCATATTTTTTGTCCTTATTTGTTTTGTTTTGTTTTTGAAAGTTTCAGCATATAGCTTTTGCTGGCCTGACACTTGAAGCAATCCCCCCCTGCCTTTGCCTCCAGTGTTCTTCATGAGGTATTGTGGGCATTTGCGATCATGCCCAGCTTCATTTTTGTTCATTTTATAACCTTCCAATTTGAACGTAATCAGAGTATAATGTGGTGTCTCATGTAGATTAGACAATAAAAAGGTCCACATTACATATTATTTTGGTAATATGTGTCATGTTCACAGCTGTTTCTGAAGATGTATAGAAGTGGTTGGGGACATTTATTTCTGTATTTAAAAATGTGCACAGTAGTAAAATTGCTTCCACTGCCTCCATGATGCAAGGATTAGTGGCAAAAGGGGACTCACATAGGTACTGCCAGATGTTGGAAAATGAGCCCTATTAAAAGAGATGCTATTGATAATGGGTGAGAGTTTGGGAGAGTGGGTGGGTTTACTTCCCACTATGTAATACTACTGTTTTGCATCTTTGCATATAGATACTACTTTTTTATTACCATGAGATAGCTTTCCTCATCTATTTGTCTGCCTGTCCTTCACTTACTTTCCTTTCTGTCCCCCTCTCCTCTCCTCTCCTCTCCTCTCCTCTCC